TTATTGAAAGTTTTTGAATGTTGAAAAGCCGGATATAGGATAGAGTTCAGTAGTTTCTTACCCATCACCTCCACCGTCCAAGGGTTAACCTTTGTCGAAAAAAGAAATATATCTCAGAAGTCACGAAGGATAGTTGAATAAACGCTGAAAGTTTCGTCGAGTTTGCCGAACATTTTACATATAGTGGGAGGTTTCACATGGAATCACCTAATGCTACATTTGACATATTTTAAACTCAGAAACACTTAGCTGTCGAACAATTTTTTAATTAGGACATAATCTAGCAGCGAAGTAACAATTTTTCGTAATCGAAGTTATTTTCTTAATCGCCGTTTGCAGTGCGATGACATCGCTAAAGTTCTTTAAGGTTGAAACTGACTAAAAGTTATACCACTTTGAAAAATCTTGATTTTCAAGACAAAATCTATTTTTTCAACTCAGGAACGTTGTATTGCAAAATAATTAGCATTGTCGTATGATTTGGAATATAAAATTGGAAGCATGACACAAACGACGTTTAAAGGATCGATCAGAATACATTTTCGACTAGAACAACGTAGTAAACACCTAGTTTATCAGGTGAAACGCATGACCAAATTGTGTCCAGCACTTCTTCAATTAGCAGATGTGACATTAGATGTGAATATGCCAGTTTGTTTGCAGAATGAATGTGTTATTATACAAGAGGCGTCCGGTGCACTATCTTCAGAAAATGACGCTACAACAGCTTATATTCTCTATCAAGAATTTAAAATTAATTTAAATAATGGCAACACAGGATTTTTTCGGACTGAATTTGAAGATTCTGGTGGTGATGGGTAAGAAACTACTGAACTCTATCCTATATCCGGCTTTTCAACATTCAAAAACTTTCAATAAGACTTCCCCTCAGCAAATATTTCTGATCTATGGTTCCAAAACCAGATCGATTGACTTCACTTGCATTATCGCAGATACCAAGGTTATAGGTCGATACTTTTGTAGGTCTAAAACGTCTCTACTCTTAAAAAGTGGGTTTATAAAACCATTTTTCCAATGTGCAGAAATTTGCTGATGGTGGGGATTTTGGAAACCGTGAAAATTACATCAATCAATTATTGAAAAAGATGGTTTAAAAACACTGAAGTTTCAAGAGATTTATTAATTAGTTTGG